CCAAGTACAGCTTCTGCTCGGATTGGAAACTGAACTTCAGGGGCACGATGAAAGGGTTGTTGACACGCGCCAGCACGAGCCGCTCTGCTAATGTGTGTGTGATTTCTTTCCGATCGACTATATGAGCTTTGCGGATGGTCTTGAGGGCATATATCCGCATGGTGTCGCGTTTCCTAACCTGCATGACCTGCAAGGAACGTCAGTACGACTATTGGCGCGTCAATACTCAGCCCACCTTGCCAAAGCTGCCTTTGCCAATGACAGTGATGAGCTCAAATTCATCGATAGTAAGAGATTGACCCTGTCAACTTGTTAGTCGCTCGAAACTCGAAACATGAAATCACCAACAGAGCTGGGCTGGTATGCCACACCAATCTGAATTTTTCCTTTGCCACCTGTCACGTCGTGCCACTGGTCTTGGCCCACAGCGCCAATATTATCAAAGTCTGGCGTGAACTTGATTCCGCCCATGAAAATATCATTGCCCATATCATCCGCTAAACCATCACTGCCGACTTTGGGCTGTTCTGTTCGCAAGTAGCACTGTATTGAAATTTCTGAGTTGCGCGACACGTCACTGACAGCGAATTCAGGACAAGTTGTACGTAATGTAAAATGGACACTCACAACTGCGCCTGGTACATGTACAATGGTTTCTCCAGATCACCACCCAATGGGGTGATTAGGACTTGATTGACTTCGAACTCCATTACCAGGTAGGGTAGCCACCAGCATTGTGTACGCTGGATACTGTCTTTGGCGCCATGGCGCTTCGCGAGCCGCCTCTGGGTTACGCTCGAGGGAGATACGGACGCGGCAACCTTGGCCAGCTGCGTGGACAGCGCGGCTTGCACAGCAGAAGGGACTGTGGCGCCTACAGGAAGGGCCAGGCCTTCAGCCCATAAAACGCGTATGCTGAGAAGACCAGTCCGTGAAGTGGGTTTCCCCCCAGGATTGCTCGGCGTCGGAGTAGTCGACCGCGGAGGCTCGTCGGGGCATCCAGCAGACAAGGTGGCTGTCGAAGCTTTTTTAGTCAATTTCCCGAATCCTTTTAACATGGCGTCCAGTCAATATTAATGTCCAAATGAACAAAAGAGTATATAAGGCGACGCGGGAGGATTGCACAGGATTGATGTGGGGGCAGTTGACAAAACAAGTTGATGGTCTGTGTTACACTCGGGCTCTCGCAATGAAGCGGTTACAGTTTATACATAGAAGTTGGCTTACAATGCTGTGCACGTGCCTGAATAGGAAACAGCTCACTCTGATTTCCAGCATTACAACTTTAAAAGTATTTTTATTCAGAATCTGCGTGGAATGAGATCCATCTAGAAAATGCTCCTAGCTATCGTAATATCGAGCACTCGGAAGTGTCATGACTCAGTACTCATTGTTCATGAATATTTTGCTAGATGGTTTCAATGTCGATCAAAAGTCGCGTAGTGGGCCAGTCAGTACTAGTCAGTGTTAGCACTAAGCAAGATAATTTGCAAAACACATGCAATTATTTTTGGTGGAGAACTTGTTGCACAGGGTCCAAATTGATTCAGGTAATCTAATTATTTGTGTAGGAGGATACGAGGAGAGATCAGACTAGGACACCGTGAGAATCATACTTTTGTTTCTGGCAACCGGTTTTTTTGTGAATCCAATTTTTGTCCATTGGGTAAAGTACCCTTACAGTACTACACTTAGCTCGGAGTTATAACAGGGTACTCAACATTCGTGTGCTTTTTTAGCCAGGCGTCAACGCGTCACTGACGGTGTCACCTCCTTCAGGCGGTAATCCTTCGCACACTATATATATATATTATTACAGGCTGTATGTGAGAATGGAGACATGGAAATACTCTTGAAGACAAGGCCCGGGAAATACATAATGCGCAATTCAGAATCGGCTACCTGAGGCCAAACGAAAACACTGCGAGTCCTGGGGGGATGCATCAATATTGATTCATTGGAGACTGTTTTCTTCGCTCTCTCTCTGACCCATGCAGACATGAGTCAAAATCTCTCATGTAACTTCAGGATAATCCTGTATCATGCGCCTGAGCTCCATTTCCGGAATCCTCTTCTCAAACTCAAATTCGCATGGCCGGATGTCTAGCATTGACCCGCTCATGAACTCCATGTCCTCTAATGGCTTCGTAGGATCCAGAGTGAGCTTGAAGGCCCAAAGAATAAGGAGAGCAGTTATGAACACCGATCTGTACCAACCGAAGTGAGTTTGGAAGACCGCGTGCATGCAAAATACCTTTACCTGCTCGCGACATGTTGACCAGGGCATACGCTGAAAGGAATGTCATTTCCAAAAAAAAACGAGTATCTGAAAGACGGAGCTTACCGCCGACCAAACCCGAAGACAAACAATTTTATATCGTCTCTCAGGCTACCTTGGCCATCAATCCAGCGCTGAGGTTTGAACGTGTCAGGCTCCAGGAAGACATCTGGATCTCGACAGATGGACCTAAGGCAGTGACAGTTAGATCCATGGCAACTTGAAGTACAATGCTCACCAAATGTTGCCGTACACCGTGGTCCCAGCTGGGATACAATAGTGTTCCTGATGGGCAAGATCACCAATCGCACGATAAGTAGTTCAAAGATCACTTGCCCAAATCACGTCTTTGATTGTATGGTGGGCCAATCCTGCAGCATGAATGTTGTGTGTCACACCTACGTGCAAAACAAAAGCAAAGATGCCCACCATCGGGAACTGGGGGTCTCCATCTCAAAGCCTCAGAGATGAATGCTTGCAGGCGAGGAAGGGATTTTTGGTCGGCGAAGGTCGGTGCTTTAGTGCGGAAATTATTGAAACCATAGAGCTGCAATAGGGACTCAAGCTACCTCGGTGCATTCCAATGACCGCGTCGAGCTCGGCCTGAACTTTAGCTTGCTCTTCAGGGAAACATGCGGCTGCCATGAGCACCGTGCATATGGTGTTAGAGGTCTTCTTGTTTTCAGCCACATGTCTTCGGAAGCAAGGTAACACCCCACCGTTTCTGATCCAGCTTTCAGAAAGCTACCAGCAAGAAAGGCTATCTCAGTCTCTGCGAAACCATAGAGATGGCTATTTTCTAGCATATATTTCGTGAACGAAGGGCCGATGTCCTCGTCATTATGCTGTGCAACGACTCAGTCACGAAATAAAGATTGAAAGAGAAATACATACCATTTGCTCTTTCACACGGTTTAGATCACCAGTGTGGAGTTTCTTGCTCCTCTCAAAACTCTGCCTCAAGTCCCGGCCATACCAAGGAAGATATTTGAGCCATGGGATTGAATCCACCAGGTAATCACGGCGTCGAACTGCACGACTCGTCTTCATGAGTCGATTAACTTCAACGATTTCGGGATCGGTCGCAGACGTAGGTGTATTCTTCCCGTAAGCAACTTTCATAATTGTCGTCGCAGCATAACTTCAAAGCACCCGTAAGCAAAGCACTACTGATAATATCATGACCAACAACCCTTACGTTATCACATGGCGCTGGAGGTTATGTGGATCATCGAGAATGCCAACAACTATGTTCTTCGCGTGCGACATCTGCAGGGGCTGATATGCCTTAGCTGAATTAGGCTGGAGAGACGCATGAAGTGCTCTGCAACACGTTGAAAAGCAGGATAGATGAGGGGATGTATCGTGGACTACTGACCTACGCATCCGATGTAACCTGTCCCCAAAGGGTGCATTTCCGAAGCTCATTCTGCCGCCAGATATCTCCGCAGAAATCATGGGAGGACGATCGGCTACCAATTTGCCCTGACGCTCCATAATATCCACGGCGGCCTGCAAAAGAACGTTGTTGGATATGACAACGCAGTGTGCGGGAACTGACTTTGTAACGCCCGATGTAAACAATCTTCTTGAATCTTGATCGAATGGTGATCACGGGACCGTACTCGTTAATCCATCTCGCCACGATGAGAAATGGTCTTGTGATATGACACACTTAGCGTCCAAAAGTTAAGGATTTGAATGCGAATCCTTACTTGCGATGAGGAAGAGCATGTCCCCAATGTCTCCAAGTGGAAACGGAAGGTGGGAGAGGAAGGTTGTTCGCTGACTTAAAACGGTAGGCCCGAGTAATTAATCCTATAACACCAAGAAAAGCCACAACACTGAGGAGGAGCTGTGTGTTGTCGGATATGCGCAGGTCAGGAAGCTGCAGTGGGATGAGCCCTAGGAACGATTGGAGGGAACTCATCATATCGAGTAATGCTGGCATGCAAGGTCAAGGGCTTCATATAGCCTCATATAACCAATAGAAGTTGTCGGGCTCTGGAGAGCCGGAGAGCCGCACCCACAATAGATATTCTGATGGACACCTGTATTGGGAATTGCAAATGATTCATTTAGCCAACATACTTCATCCTATTGGTGCCATGTCTCGAAGGATTTCGCGGCCCAAAGTCTCCCAAACACTTGAGTATAAGTAGGAGCATTTTTGGAGGACAATCCATCCGGTAGAGCGTTCTATGACCTGAAGTATTTTCTTTCACACCATTGATAGTAGCAAATTTTATGTCACGTCCGTACCACTCGATGTGACTGTATTCTGTGCAGACGCATGGCCCGTGACGACGCCGGGGTGGGCGGGGACAGCTACTCAGCTACTAGTGTGCTGTAGAGACACGACCTTAGCTTCGCCACACGTCACAACGACACATGAATAGACAAACATAAACTTGCCTGCAGCTCGAACACCGCGGTTGTGCCCCCAAAATTCAGCAAAAGAAATCGGGGAACAGTGACTGCATCTAGACACAACAAAATCGTCGTCCCTCAATCGCTTTCGCGAGGACGTGAGCACACTTGCAGAGTTAGATCGCGGCGCGAAGAGTTGCGCTCTTTGCATCAGTAAGTCACGTGGGCGACTTCGACCGCATGGTTCGAGCGTCTTATTTTGAAGCTTGGTCGGCGCGTAGAGGATATTCAATCCTTACAACAGGGCCCGGGAAATACATAATGCGCAATTCAGAATCGGCTCCCTGAGGCCAAATGAAAACGCTGCGAGTCCTGGAGGGATGCATCAATATTGATTCATTGGAGACTGTTTCTTCGCTCTCTCTCTGACCCATGCAGACATGAGTCAAAATCTCTCATGTAACTTCAGGATAATCCTGTATCATGCGCCTGAGCTCCATTTCCGGAATCCTCTTCTCAAACTCAAATTCGCACTGGCCGGTTTTCTAGCATTGACCCGCCCATGAAACCCATGTCCTCTAATGGCTTCGTAGGATCCAGAGTGAGCTTGAAAGCCCAAAGAGTAAGGAGAGCAGTTATGAACACCGATCTGTACCAATCGAAGTGAGTGTAGAAGACCGCGTGCGTGCAAAATACCTTTACCTGCTCGCGACATGTTGACCAGGGCATACGCTGAAAAGAATGTCATTTCCAAAAAGAACGACTATTTGAAAGACGGAGCTTACCGCCGACCAAACCCGAAGACAAACAATTTTATATCGTCTCTCAGGCTACCTTGGTCATCAATCCAGCGCTGAGGTTTGAACGCGTCAGGCTCCGGGAAGACATCTGGATCTCGACAGATGGACCTAAGGCAGTGACAGTTAGATCCATGGCAACTTGAAGTACAATGCTCACCAAATGTTGCCGTACACCGTGGTCCCAGCTGGAATACAATAGTTTTCCTGATGAGCAATATCATCATTTGCGCGGTAAGTCGTTCAAAGATCACTTGCCCAAATTACGTCTTTGATTGTATGGTGAGCCAATCCTGCAGCATGAATGTTGTGTGTCACACTTAGGTGCAAAACAAAAGCGAAGATGCCCACCATCGGGAACTGGGGGTCTCCATCTTAAAGCCTCAGAGATGAATGCTTGCAGGCGAGGAAGGGATTTTTGGTCGGCGAAGGTCGGTGCTTTAGTGCGGAAATTATTGAAACCATAGAGCTGCAATAGGGACTCAAGCTACCTCGGTGCCTTCCGATGACCGCATCGAGCTCAGCCTGAACTTTAGCTTGCTCTTCAGGGAAACATGCGGCTGCCATGAGCACCGTGCATATGGTGTTAGAGGTCTTCCTGTTTTCAGCCACATGTCTTCGGAGGCAAGGTAACACCCTACCGTGTGTGATCCAGCTTTCAGAAAGCTACCAGCAAGAAAGGCTATCTCAGTCTCTGTGAAACCATAGAGATGGCTATTTTCTAGCATATATTTCGTGAACGAAGGGCCGATGTCCTCGTCATTATGCTGTGCAACGACTCAGTCACGAAATAAAGATTGAAAGAGAAATACATACCATTTGCTCTTTCACACGGTTTAGATCACCAGTGTGGAGTTTCTTGCTCCTCTCAAACCTCAGCTTCAAGTCCCGGCCATACCAAGGAAGATACTTGAGCCATGGGATTGAATCCACCAGGTAAACATCATGGTGCTGAACTGCACGACTCGTCTTAACGAGTTGATTAACTTCAAGGATTTTGGGATCAGTCGCAGACGTCAGTGTATTCTTCCCGTACGCAATTTTCATAATTGTAGTTGCAGCATAACTTTAAAGCACCCGTAAGCAAAGTACTACTGATAATACAAATCATGACCATCAACCCTTACGTTATCACATGGCGCTGGAGGTTATGTGGATCGTCGAGAATGCCAACAACTATGTTCTTCGCGTGCGACATCTGCAGGGGCTGATAGGCCTTAGCTGCTTTAGGCTGGAGATACGAATGAAGTGCTCTGCAACACGTTAAAAAGTAGGATAAATGAGGGGAAGTATCGTGGACTACTGACCTACGCATCCGATGTAACCTGTCCCCAAAGGGTGCATTTCCGAAGCTCATTCTGCCGCCAGATATCTCCGCAGAAATCATGGGAGGACGATCGGCTACCAATTTGCCCTGACGCTCCATAATATCCACGGCGGCCTGCAAAAGAACGTTGTTGGATATGACAACGCAGTGTGCGGGAACTGACTTTGTAACGCCCGATGTAAACAATCTTCTTGAATCTTGATCGAATGGTGATCACGGGACCGTACTCGTTAATCCATCTCGCCACGATGAGAAATGGTCTTGTGATATGATGCATTTAGTATTCGAAAGTTAAGGATTTGAATGCGAATTCTTACTTGCGATGTGGAAGGATGTGTCCCCCGAGTCTCCAAGTGGAGGGGGAAGATGGGAGAGGAAGGTTGCTCGCTGATTCAAAACAGTAGGCCCGAGTAATTAATCCTATAACACCAAGAAAAGCCGCAGCACTGAGGAGCAGCTGTGTGTTGTTACATATGCGCAGGTCAGGAAGCTGTAGTGGGATGAGCGCAAGGAAGGATTGGAGGGAACTCATCATAAGTCACAGTACATCCAAATGGCTTTTAAGCACCCCATGCCAACCGATACGTCACAACTCACCTCAGGCTACATCCGGATATCCAGTAATGCTGGCATGCGAGGTCAAGGGCTTCATGTGAGAAGTTGTCGGGCTCCGGAGATCCGGAGAGCCGCACCCACAATAGATATTCTGATGGACACCTGTATTGGGAATTGCAAATGATTCATTTAGCCAACATACTTCATCCTATTGGTGCCATGTCTCGAAGGATTTCGCTGGCCCAAAGTCTCCCAAACACTTGAGTATAAGTAGGAGCATTTTTGGAGGACAATCCATCCGGTAGAGCGTTCTATGACCTGAAGTATTTTCTTTCACACCATTGATAGTAGCAAATTTTGTGTCACGTCCGTACCACTCGATGTGACTGTATTCTGAGCAGATGCATGGCCCGTGACGACGCCGGAGTGGGCTGGGTCAGCTACTCAGCTACCATTGTACTGTAGAGACACGACCTTAGCTTCGCCACACGTCACAACGATACATGAATAGACAAACATAAACTTGCCTGCAGCTCGAACACCACGGTTGTGCCCCCAAAATTCAGCAAAAGAGATCGGGGAACAGTGACTGCATCTAGACACAACAAAATCGCCGTCCCCCAATCGCTTTCGCGAGGACGTGAGCACACTTTGCAGCAGAGCTAGATCCCGCGGAAGTAATATGCGTCAAGTCATCAAATCATCTGCGAACCCTCTTCAGCTGCTTGCATGTATGACCAACAGATAAATTTGAACTCACTTGCAACCCAAACATCCGAGTCACCATTCGTAAGACAGGCGTGTCTAAGTGTTTGCTTTCCCGTCGAGTCGGCTCTTCTGCGAATTCTCTTCAGCTTCACCCATGTAAATATCAAGTAGATAAACTTGCCTACAACCCGAACACCGCGGTCTTCCCCAAAAAAGACCGGTCATCGATGATCTCATCATCCATGTACAGTTGTCGGACGCAGGCCTTTATTAGCTAAGCATACTGCCTTTAGTCTTGAACTTGTAGCTTGAGCGCACTCGAAAACATCACATTCTAGCAGTACTGCCCTTTAGACATCATGTCTACTGTTTTCAAAGGTTCTCTCTCATGCAAAAAAATCCTCCGGTATATCACAGAACCAGATCGTCAGCACGAGTGTGAGGTAGGTGCTTGATGGACTTATGTTGGTATAGTGAGTGATGCTGACCATCATCATTTTCCAGGAGTTTTGTGGGATTAGTCGGGTTGAATATGAACGATTAGTGAGTTTCATTGACGAGTCTTACAATTTTGGCGTAAGACCAAGGTGCGTTTGAAAAAAAATCTTGGTCTGCACATCAGTTCTTACCACAACACTACAGAATGACATACATCGAAGCTGACAGTACATTGATTGTTGAGACGCCCTCAGCAGTTCATGAAGCTCCTCTTGTCGAAATTCGCACAGCCCTCACGTGTCTCTTTGAGAACATTCCCTTTGACCATCAGGCGGTCAATGTAAATATCTCAAATTACCTTGAAGCATCCCATTCACTTGTCCCTGATCTACGGATCTCTTTGCAAAATATGCGCTCTGCCGCCTGCAATATTATCATTCCAAGCCTTGCAGAGACCGTGTCGCGCGAAGGGGCAGTAATGAGCATACCAGTAACCTGGACCTCCATCTCGGTATTGTCCTCGACAACATCTTTGAGTGTGTGTTTCTTCTGTGTCTGTGAGATTGTTATAAGCCATCATGTACGGATGAGTGAGATTACCTGGAGCAAGAGAACTTACTTCCGACAATCGACAAAGGACCATTCAATTCCGCCTTTCCTGCCAAAGCACTTCGTCAAGTTGCAGCCATCGCTGGATACATTGGGTAACCCCTGTATGACAGGAGCAGTTTCTTCTTTGCGAGCTCCACAATATTAAGGGCACTCAGGATGCGGCGTTGACGTGAGGCTTTTCGGGGAACGCAGTTCCGCCGCAGGACAGTTGATTTTGTGAGTCAGCACCTAAATGGCACATACTTGGGACAATATTAATATGCTGATGACAGATACACTCAGGCTACGATACATGTTCAACTTGAAGTCGCGACTCGGAATGGATGCGATATTGGTCAATAGCCTTCAAGTGAAATATCAAGGTGCAACTTGAAAGGGAGCAACCTTACTATGATCGAGAAAGTGTTCAAGAGCTGACTTTGACGATTTTTTGCTTCCTTAATGACCCAGAGCACAACGAGTGACATGATTTGAGAACACTGAAGATGTGACTTACTTACTGTACATGCTATATAATTTTCGTTTGGGCTCGTGCCTATTAATAATTCACGCGTCTGGGTCTCTATTTGAATCTTGATCAAACGCTCTCTGAGTCTCTCGAGATTTAGCGACGGAAAATGTGTCTGATATTAATATCGACGCTTGTCGAGTCCATCTTTGGAATCGTTTCACCTCACCTGCTCGCTCGTTCCTCAGATCTTCCAGCGCGTACATGCAATGTGTGTATTACAACCAACAAATCACCAAATCACCTTGATGATGATAACAATAACAATAACGACAACAAGGATCGTAGTAGTATGAATGAAGGAACGAAGAGTAGCGTGTTATGCCATAAAGAATAGAAATAATGTGTGTGGGTGGAAAGAATATGTGAATAAACAATAGCAGATAATAAAACAGAGAAAATAGTTGGTGGCAGAAGGGAAATATAACTACATCTCATCCACGTCACGTATCTCATTAGCCTCCCAAAAATCAGCATCGTCTTCATCGTCATTGTCTTCGGCGGGCTCTGTGACCATGTTATTCTCTGGTGGTTGAGGGAGGTAAAGTCCGGGATCCGTGACAGTGGGCGTTCCATACGATTCCGTAACCCAAGCTGTTTGGGGCGCGATCTGCATGTTCTCGGGCATCGACATGAAGGGCATGGGGTACGGGTGAGAATACGTGAACGGTGTGGTAGATACTGTCACAGGCGCGGCAGGAGTGGAACTCGTAGAATTTTTGCAAGCGTCTGCGTATGATTGCCGAGCACCCTCAGGTGCTAGCTTTCCATGAATGTCATCCCAATGCCTCTTGCAGGAATCACGTTGGGCAAAACTAATAACGACAATATTAATTATGAGACGCGCTTATTTTGAGAGTTGGGATACGCACGTTTTGATACAACCAGGGCATTTGTATCTCTCTAGCTTAAAGCCTAGGTGCATTGTCGTCTTGAGGTGCTTAAGATAGCTTTGAGGATTAATTATTATACCGTCCTGAGAACACACGAATGTCCCGTTGGGTTGACCATTTTGATCTAACACGGGTTTCTGTCCCAAGGTTTGAGAATGCGACCTCACAAGATGAAAAGAAAACTCACAAATAAGGGGTCGCTCCTGAGCCTGCGGAAGGTTTTCTGAGTTCGCTTGACGTCGCGTCCTTCGAGGTCTTCCGCGACGCGCTTTTGGCCGACCGACCAACTTGGTGCTTGAGGGACAAACAAGGGAGCAAATGCCGTTGGGAGCCCAGGCTCGTAATTCTGGGGGAGATATCCTTGGTGCGGTGCGGGTGGGGCGCAAGGGTTCACGGCTCCTGGAAAAGAATTGGATGGGAAAGGTTGGTGGTACGGAGGGGGCGCAGATGGGCATTGTGGGGGAGGAGCAGCCTCAGTTAGCGGTGGGTTTGGACCAACGTTAGTGACATCGGCTTCTGCAGGAGGGGAATAACCATTTGGCTCCGCTTGGAATGCGTGATGCTCAACTCTAGCACCCACACCAGGCAAAGGTGCGACGGGGGCGTATGAGGGAGCGGCACCATGCGGCGCATTAGGTGCCACACCGTAAGGGTAGTAGAAGCCTGGATGAGGAATGCATGCGGGCCGGGGGTAGGGAAATTGACCCATCGGCATGCCAGTGTTCGACATGTATTGTGCCGCATTAGAAGAATCGGAATCGTTCGGCGAAGAGGGGTGGGGTGTAGATTGTGTCATCTGGAGGTAAGAAGTAAATATAGTTAGGAAGCGTAGGTGTTGAAGCTGGGGATACACATACCTAGGCCAGAAGACAATTGATTGAGATGTCAAGGAGATATGTATGCGTTCGTAGTGGCAGTAAATGCAGTGGGTAAGGGATAGAGGATGAAGGCCACCGACGCAATATTTATATGTTGGTCCAGAGCCGGTTTGAAGGAGTCCTCGAGTTGTGTCTCCACTGCAGGGACCTCCCTTTCAGGGAACATTTCCTGTGGACCACCATTATCCACTAAATGGGACAGTGGTCTTTTAGCACGATGCGTTCAGCTTTGCATCCACGCTTGAGATGTTTATTGTTGTGGCAAGTCCGCGACGTAAAAACGACAAGTGCGTTGTGGATGCGCTGTGGATGTGCCCTCCTGAGACTAACAATCCGATCGGTGTATGTTTCTGGCTCCACGTGGGGTTGAATAATCGTAGATCTAAGTTCCACTCGCATAAGCATAAGTAATGACATCAGATCGTGATTTATGTCGGCGCTTTGGGAGACACGGCCTACGCGGTGAACTGGTCAACAGTAACAAAGAACCCACGTAAGGTGCAGCGGACGTTAGAAGCCCAGCCAAAGCAAGTAACAGATTTGGCATTGGTCCAGGTTCTGATGTAAAAATTGTTGTACACCTCTCGTGTCACCTTATAGATTTTAGAGACGGCTTACCAGCATCTGAATCGAGGAGACTCAAGCGCCAAACGTCACGGGTAAGAATATTCTCATTGCGTTTCCTTGCGAGTACTCACTCTTTTGTTTAGTTTCCTTTAATACATCGCAACATCCTGTCCTAGGTTCCGGTGGAACTTAACTCCTCTAACCAAGATGGAGAACTGACCGTAGTTTTATTAAAACTACACAAGCAAGTTGAAGGAAATCGCCTTCTTGCAACATTGGTCGACTGACGCAAAGGTATGTCTTTGCCACCCCGCTGAGAGCCTATAAATGATCGCTTTTCAGTATACGCATGAAGAGTAACAAGACAATACCAATGCAAGGAAAATCAGTCTGACCCGGAAGGACGAGTGATGTGGTGAAGGGTAGGTGGGCGAAAAATCCCTCATCGACTCCAGAGAACATCGAAGAACTCCTTCATCATTTGATAGTCGTCTGGGCATTGATTTGCATCATACGGCTCGTGAAGACAGCACAAAGCGATATCCACATGTCCTGGGCCGGCATGAGTCCAGAAGTCTGGACCGGATGGAGCGACAGCATGCGCAGGAAATAACTGGCTATAAAATTTGCGTTATTGGTGGGCAGAAAGTGATACCTGGATACAGGGAAGCATATTTGATATCTGCAATGTAGAGTGAACGCATTTTTGTGTAGGCTTTTGAAATGCGGCCAAACATCGACCAGGTAAGTTTTCCGGTCACGGATCATTCACGGTTCAAAGGCTTTCAATACTGATGTTTCAACCACGGGTGAAGGTCGGTTATCATTCGGTTGCCATATGACCTTCCTATTCTTCTCCTGCCAATGCACCCTACAGGCTGTCACAGCTTGCGGTGCGCGGTGCGTATCAAAAATCCCCTGCGTCATTTTTGATGAGATCTCTCTGGGGCCATACTCGCATGAACTTGACAATAGTTTCGGATATGACGACGGAGGTGTAGACACGTATTTGAATGAATTTTAGACGGTCGTACAGCAAGATTTGGTGTGCGTCATGGAGAGGGAAGGAAAACTGTCTTAGGTTTGTTGATCTCGGTTTCAGCATCCGAATCCCGATCTCCGTTCTTGTTCAGTGTTGCTCAGTTGATCACCTCATGTTTGCACATTACGTATACCTGGCCAGGTCTACACAGAACTGCTCAAGAACGCGAAGCTGGTCGAATTTAGTGAGCTTTCAAATCAGGTCAAACCAACTCTTCGTCGTTTCACCGAGAGCATTAGCCTATCTAGTAGGACCATGACCTTCAATTTTCAGCTCATGGATCAAGTAGTGTGATATCACCGTGGACTCGAGTTTCATGCTTTGAATTTTCTCCTCCGTCTCATATAGGTTGTTAAGTCGCAAATTTAGCGCCCATGGTACAGGCTGAGGACGACGTGGAGTTGGAGTTAAGGAAGGTAGAGACAGCAATTAAGGTCTTAACGTGATGTCTTTTACGAGTAGGAACACCATTACGTCAGTAACTGCAGAGCAAATCATGGCGCGAGCATGCATGGCACAAATGTTGTTCTCGACGAAAGCTGCGTGACCTCCAAAAGTATTAGTATAAAGACGGCTAACGCTAAGTGACCGCCAGGCAACGTAGCCTCGGACTGCCAATCATTTTTGCTGTGCAGGATGCATTTTGAACACCGACCAATCCATGAAAATTATAGGTTGTAGCCAGTGTTGCTAAAACAAGAACGAAATGTTGAAAGCTGGAGTTTAGACGGAGTGGATGCAATTGACACCGAACCGCCGGCTACCTCCACCAGAGCCTCCCCCTTTTATAGCACAAACACTCTCGGATCTCATCGAGTTAGCGGTGCCGTTGCACTTCAAAACCTGCCGTATACGTTTGCTGCGACCGACAGCCAAGGATTCAGTGTTATCATGATGGTCAGTTTGAGGAAGGCTTTGTCGATGAGCTGTAGTATGTTCGTGGCGAAATCATGGAGACAATCGGGGGTGAGTCGTCTATGGGGACGGCGGACGAGGATAGGGGCGATGAGTTCTAGAGATGAAGGGATATCGCTTTCTTTTGAGAGATCCAGGGTGGGGTCCGTCATCGTACCGGCGTCGCGGAAGTCTCGGGTGAGTGGGAAGAGAGCAGGAGGCATAGCGGCGTCAAATTCGAAGTTGGGGTGGCTATTGAGCTCGAAGTGTGGGTGGGTGGTGATCGTGCCGTCGCTGCTCCCGCTGTTGGGGTCAGCTTTGATAAGAATTTCATGGAAGATCGTGGAGTAGTAAGATCCAACTGGCAAATTCGTATCTGGGAGGCATAGCAAGAAATCGCCAGGACCTGGGGCTGGGTCAACAGGTGGAGAGAGAGATGGTTGGATGCTAGGAGCGAGAAGCGGACCTGGCTCGACACTTGACATGGAGCCATTATCTTTAGCTGCTTCGTTGCGCGTCGCTAGCTTCTTTTGAGCACTACCAACATGATTGAATTGATGAAGCAACACGCAGTTATGTTCGACTCACAAGAATTACGGGCATTAATACGCTTCCTCTCTTTCATTCTCTCAGCTTCTAGTTCATCGCTGATGGGAATCGATACGTCAGCATGTTAGATTGAAGCAGGGAGCACGTACATCTTGCCATTTTTTATTCTTTCCTTCAGCCGCTACCTGTATTTTCAATTACCCTCGCGATGTCTGTCTGATGTTTTTGGAGCTGTCTGGAACCTAGTTGAACGAATGAACAAACCAGAATGACTGAGAGAAACATACCGAGTTATTGCGACTATTCACCATAGCTGAAATGCCTTCTGTATCCACATCGCCTGCATAATCAGACTCGAGGTCTACGCCAGAAGCTGGGGAAGGTAAGGCTCCTGGAGAGGACGTAGTGGGATATTGACCCTGAGGTGCTTGTCGGCTAGCAATCTGCGACTCGGAAGTCATTGCTAGCGTGCGTTGAACAGGACATAGAGTGGTTGATGTGGAATGTGGAATGTACGATGACGGGGGGGAGGTGGGCGCGGAGAAGTGGAAACCGAGGTACCTGCTAATGCTGCGGACTGCGCGGATAGGCTGATGCGAGCTGTTGCATTAGCAAATATTAGGTGTCATAGATGTGAGAAGTTGTATGGTCGATGAGGCACGCGCTGCAGCTGCAGGGTCATCGACATGATTTGAAGGTC